TTTTTTTTTTTTTTTTTTTTTTTTTTTCAGATTGTTGTCCTCGTTTTTTTTTTGTTTTTTTCTTTTCTTTCTTTTTTGCTGTTGTGTACTACCGGTTGTCCGAGGCGCGGCAATAAAGTCGAGGCTCGGCAAGGACCGGCCTATCGGTAGCCTGAGCCACGGGGCTTGACAACCGGTAGGTACTGGTGGTTTAAGGCATTACATCAAGCCCAACCAGGTGGACTGGGATGAGAAGCTTGCTCTCATAGCCAATCTGTACAACAATGCTGTACATAGTGCCACCAGCGTGAGCCCAAACAGTTTGCTATTGACTTTCAAGCCTAGACTACCCTTAGATTTTCTCCTTCCTGATAATCAATCAATTGCTGCACCAGGTACTTAGAATTTGCTTACCGGTATGAACAGAAGATGCAGCAGGCTGTAGAACAAATGCAGAAGGCACAGGCAGCTATGATTGAATCTGCGAACAAACACCGCCGTGAATCTTTATTTCAGGTTGGGGACAGAGTTTGGGTTAAGTCCTCATAACTGGGACAGGGGCACGGGATCTCCCGCAAGATTATGCCACAGTACTTTGGACCATGGGAAGTCTTAGATATTGTGGGGACTGATCCGGATGGACCCTTTTATGTAGTCTGGATCCCTGGTCATCTTCGTACTTACCCTGTCTTTCACGCCTCCAAGCTGGCACCTTTCAAAGAAACTGATCAGTTTCCATCTCGCCGCTCAATGCTGCCCCCAACCATGGATGGAGAGGTGGATATCGATGACATCATGGATCACAGAGAGCTGCCGGTATCAAGACCAACAGGCAGGGGACATCCTCCTAAACCGAAGCTGCAGTATCACGTTCGGTTCCGGCATCACACTGATCCGAAGGAGGACCGCTGGTTCACCAGGGAGGAACTCATGCAGACTGCTCCGCAAGTTGTAGCCCACTACGAGAAATCTCTGCAGAAAGGAAAGCGCCCGATGGTCGAAGACCGAGCTTCTCAGAGGACTGTTGAAGCTAAGGAGGAGGGAATGCGAGGCCACTGCCTCTATGAGCCCCAATCGGCCACTTTTTGGGAGCCTGTCGGCTGCCCTAAGTGAAGGCAGGCTCGACGAGGCCCCTCAGGGCCTTATTTCGGCCTCGGCGCAACTAAGGAAATTCAGGCAGTTGCGCAGCGCCAGTTGGTTGAGAAAGCCCAGGCCCTGGGCCGCCTGTGTGAATGAATGGAAGCAGGCCCTGGGCTGGATACGGGTACTGGGCCAAACACATGCCAAGGGCAGTTGGGTGCATGCAACCACCTCAGGCCCCAGGCCTGTTCTCAATCGTGCTGGGCCTCAGGCTACCGGGGCCTACTGGAAGCTTCCTGGGACTGGACGCAGGCAGGCCACTTCGATATCGCAAAGGGCCTGCCTCCTCATTGGGCATTCGGGTGCTGGCTGCATACTGCGCAAGCGCTGCTGCTGTGCTATTTGCTGGCTGGTGCCTACGCGCTCACGGGCGAGCAAGGCAGCCATAGCCGAGCTGCGCTGCTGTAAGCTGGGTGTGGCGCAGGGTGGTCCTTGAGTGTAAGTGGCATTTGTGTGTTGGGGAACGAGGTTGTGAGTGTGGCGAGAGACATACCTGGTGCTGGAAGCGTGCGACATGGGTCGTTGTATGCTCGTACTTCGGGAAGGTTGTTGACGTCATATTTCGGCATTGTAGTTTAGGCTAGATAGGATCTGCCATCTGTAGTCTGGGCGCTGAGCGCCAGATAGGATATCAACATTGGTTCTTCATTGATGATGATGAGGAGACTTTACCAGCATTGTCAATTTTGAGCTCTTGGTGTCTTCTTATTTGGTGAAACTCGTGATGCAATTTTGCTGTTGGTTCGAGGTCACGACTATCTGGTCTTGTGTATATGATGATGTGTGATTGCTGAAGTTCGCTAATGCTCATCTTCCTTGCATAACATTCACTATCCATAGAATTCTTTCTTTCAATTCCTGTTGAATTGCTAGTTACCTCTTGCAAGGAACATGAATGTGGACGAAGCACAGAAATCCAGATTGCAAAATCACACTGAAGTCCAAATTGTCAAAGCAAGAGCAAATAGCACAATGGAACCGAGTAACCATCCATTTGAGAACGATACAGAAGAATCGTGAGTCAATGTCCAAGCCCAATCGGGCAACACCAACAGCATAGCCCAATGTAGCTCTCTCTCTTGAATGGCACCCGGCGCCGTACCTACTCTACAGCCTAACACTACAACTACAACATGAAAGCAACCAGACAACTTGACGACCAGCGAGTGATGATGTCAACATCAATGCCGACTTCCCCTCTCCACCAGGTACGTCTCTCTCTTCTCCCTCACTCTCCCTTGTTATCCCACACAGCGCCCTTCACCTCCGAAGAACCACCTTCGCCCTTCCTCCTCTGCGCCCACCGGCAGCCCGGCTATGGCCGCAAGCGCCCTGCGCCCAGGCAGCGCTCTACTGCTTAGCGCTAGCCTGCTTCTCCCAGCCGCAGCGCAAGTGCAGCGCTACAATGCAGCAGCGTGCCCGCAATGTCTGCATTGGCCAAGATCCATGCCCACTCGCCCTGCTTGCCTATATGCCAGTGTTGCGTGTGGGCGGCCT